ATTTCATTATATCTCGTGGTAGGCGTACCACCCGCTCCCATTTCATTATATCTTGTGGTAGGCGTACCACCCGCTCCCTTTTACATTTCATTATACAATCACAAGAAATCCCGGCAAGGGAACATAAATAATATAATAACTTTCCCGGCAAGAGAACACAACAATATTATAATTTTCCCGGCAAGGGAACAACAATATTGAATTAGTCATCCCGACAAGGGAGAATCAGCTATAACCAATCTCAACTCAACTTGTACTCAGTTCAATTATTGAAAATGCTCAGTCATCGAAGATCATTAAGTAATGCACCCAAGTGTCATTTAAGAACACAACAACTTTCAATTTAAGACTCACGGTCATGCTTGACACCAACGTATAGATACTCGTCACCATGCCTATATGTCATACTCAACAAGAAGCAAGTAGCAAGTATGACTCAGCTCCTAATCTCTCAAGCTAGGGTTAGACCAAACACTTACATCAATGCCTTGATTACCACTCAAGTCTCAACTATAGCTTTACCCTTGATTCAACCACCAATCCGCTCGAATCTAGTCACAAGTTACTTAATTACATCAATAAGTGCTAAATGAATCAACCCCAATGCATGAAAATGAGTTTTCTAAAGTTTTACCCAAAAGTCAGAAATCACCCCCGGGCCCACGTGGTCGAAACCTGAGGTCCGGACCGAAACCCGATTACCCATTCCCCCACGAATCCAAATTTATTATTTGTTTTGAAATCAGACCTCAAATTGAGGTCCAAATCCCCAATTTTAGAAAACCTAGGTTCTACCCAAAACATCCAATTTCCCTCATGAAAATCTTTGATTTGAAGTTGAAATCATGTTAAAAGATGTTAAGGAGTGAAAAAAATGAGTTAGAAATCACTTACCAACGTTTAGGAGAAGAAAGGTTTGAAAAATCGCCTCTTATGTTTTGGGGTTTTGAAAGGTGAAAAATAACTGAAATTCCCGTTTATTTATACCCCTCTCAGACCCCTAGTGCGGACTGCATCAAATGGACTACAGCCGCACAGCCTCCTCCACGGATCACATAAAGGAGACCGCGGCCACGCTGGTCCCTCCCTGAAGACCTGTAGTTGAGCACCCTGTGCGGACCGCGCAAAGGCGACTGTGGCCGCACAGCTCCCACTGCGGACCACACAAAGGCGACCGTGGCCGCGCTGGCCCCTCCGCGGTTGCACGCAATTTCTCACGGACTGCACTAGCGGGTTCAGAGACTGCGGCTTCTTGAACCTGCAACACCTGACTTTCTAAGCCTAAGGCATCCCAGAACTTACTCGAAACTCACCCGAGCACTCGAAACTCCAACCCAAGTATACACACAACCTCAAAAACATCCTACGGACATATTCGTGTAATCAAATTACCAAAATAACATCACGAGCATCGAATTAAACCTCGAGATCACTGAAATTTCTCAAAACTCTTTTAAACATCAAATTTCTCAATTAGGGTCCGGATCGCGTCAAACGAAGTCCGTTTTTAACCAAATTTCACAGGAATGGCTCAAGTCATATATAAGACCTGTACCGGGAGCCGGAACCAAAATACGGGCCCGATACCATTGCTTTCTAATCAGTTTTCATTTCAAATTTCCTTAATCAATTTCTGAAAACAATTTCACTTAAAAATTCATTTCTCAGGTTTGGGACCTCGGAATTCGATTTCGGGCATACGCCCAAGTCCCATATTTTCCTACGACGGATCCGGGTACGTTTACCTAAAATGTTGACCGAAGTCAAGATTATTCCTTTTAACATCCTACGACGGACTGCGCGTGCAATTTGAGGCGACTCTAATGAGGTTTTCAAGGCCTCAGAGACACAGAAATCAACTGAAAGCAAGTGATGACCCAAAGGGTCATCACAATCATAGTTCACTTCATGCTTTTGGAAATCTTTTCAAGAAGCATTGGGTACACGAGTAGATCTTAGTACTACATTTTAGCCACAGATAGACGGCCAATCTGAACGTACTATTCAGATCTTGGAGGATATGTTGAGAGCTTGCATTCTTGAGTTTGGAGGTAGTTGGGACACTTATCTACCGTTAGCTGAATTCACTTACAAAAATAGCTTCCAGTCCAGTATTCAAATGGCACCATATGAAGCATTGTATGGTAGAAGATGTCGTTCTCCTATAGGATGGTTTGAAGCTGGTGAGACTAACTTATTGGGACCTGACTTAGTACAAAAAGCTATGGATAAAGTCCAGTTGATCAGACAGAGATTTCTTATAGCTCAGAGCAGACAAAAGTCTTATGCTGATAAGAGAAGAAGTGATTTAGTGTTCACAATTAGAGACAAAGTGTTCCTACGAGTCTCTCCTATGAAAGGTGTGATGCGGTTTGGGAAAAGAGGCAAGATGAGCCCTAGGTTTATAGGACCGTATGAGATACTAGACCGAATGGGAGCTGTGGCTTATATTTTGGCACTTCCTCCTGAGTTGTCCTTTATTCATCCAATTTTTCATGTCTTAATGCTAAGGAAATGTATATCAGACTCATCACGGGTACTTGAATCTCCTGCTATACCGCTTGATGAAAAGTTGTCTTACGAGGAGGAGCCGATCACTATTGTTGATAGACAAGTAAGAAAACTACGGTCAAAAGAAATATTGTTCGTGAAAGTATTATGGAGAAATCATATAGTTGAAGAAGCTATGTGGGAAGTGGAAGATGCTATGCGAGTCAAGTATCCTCACTTATTTCAGTCTACAGGTACGTACTTGAGTTAAATTCGGGGGCTGAATTTCATAAGGTGGGGAGGATGTAGGGACCCAATATTTTAAATAAGGACATATTGGATATTTAGCAAATAAAAGATAAAACAAACAAATAAAACAAAATAAGAAAAAAAAAGGATGGAAAACAAAAAGGGTTGAAGCCCATTAGAATTTTTAACCTGCCAAGGTTAAGGGTTTAAAAAGAAAAGATGCTTTGTCTTCTGAAGGAAACGAGAAATAGAAAAAAGAAAGAAAACAAAACAGAGAAAAAAAGAAGGAAAAGAGAAAAGAAGGAGGAAGAAGTGGGTGCACTGCGTTGGAGCCATAGCTATAACTGTTGAGGAATCTTAAGCACTAATTCTCTTTTACGGGTATTACTTGAACTTTTTCTTCTGGTATATTTTAATTTCGATTCTCTTGATTGGAAGATTCTATAGAGTAATAGAAATTACACTAGTTCATTCACACAATTGAGAATTTTCTTCCTAAAGAATCAATAAAACTTTATGAAATTTGGAGTAATAAATTTTATGAATAGGTTGGAGTTGATAAATTAGTAATTACTCATATGTGGGTAAATATAAATCCACGAATTAAGACTCAAACATGAACCCCTATGATTGGGTATTCTAAAATATCTATGAATTAGCCTAAATAAGAAAATTAACATGAGATCGATATTATGTAATTATAGATTGATTGGAGGAATTTGTACGAGTTGCTTGAGGTGAAGCAGTTGGTATTTCGGCACGCGTACTGTGAGTAGTAATCTTACTTCAATTTGTGTTTTCATAACTTGCATGATTTATATATGATTTTTAAGATGAATATGTTATCGATTATTTTGAGTTGCATGTGGGACAAGTCTTTTACTCGATATGATACCGAAATAGTTATTTGAGATGATTACCGTGGTTTTAAATATTTCCGTTGTCACTAGATATGTTTTACTATTACTTGAATTTACTGTTATCGAAATGAAATTATATGATTTGATAAGAACTGAAATGCCCTATATAGATTTAAAAGATTTTCTACGAGTATTTACGGATTACAGAGACAAGTATAAATGAGAGTAGACATTGAAGGATCCCGTAGCTAACGGCGGGTTCGTTAGACATGGTGCACCTTGTAATTACGGATTATCGTTATAGCCCTCGCTAGTGGGAAGGTAGAACTGGCATACCGTTACCGACTTCCCTCGAGTAGGGACTACCGTTATATTTGACTTCTTGCGAAGAAGTCCACAGTTATACTGATTACATGATCCGTTCATTGAAACCTCCCAAATATGAATATTTATATTATATAGTGGTTACCGAGCTTATTACTAAACTGTTAATTGTATTATACTACAAGAAAAGCATGATGAGACTGAAAATTATTTATTGTTTCTGAAAGGGCATTTTAATGTTATCTGTTTAAGATATTAGCATTTTTTCTGACTTATCCTCAATAAAAATAGTTGTGGTTAAGTGTTATTACTCACTGAGCTTGCGACTCATTCTCCGCTAATTGTTTTTTCAGAGATAGCAGTTGATGCGGGCGAGGATTTCGTTAATTAGAGCGCACGTGTTGAGAATTCTTGGTGAGCCTCGCACTTGTTCGCGTGGGTGGAAACTTTATCAATTGTTATGGTCTTTTCTTTGATCTCTTAGAGTTGCTCCATGGTCATTCTTTTAGTGTCTTGAGTAGTCTTTGTTATTATAGACTTATGTTGAGTAACGCTCATTCTTATAAAAATTTGGAGATAAAGTAGTATTTCTAGTTGTTAGTGGGTGGACTGTTAAAGGTAGATATTTATTTTAGTTAATTGATATAGTCCTTGTCATTTGAATTGCTATTAGGATGTTTGGTTGCTGATTTGAGACAGGAAAATTTTTGGGATGGTCCAAAAACAGGGGAAACTCTGTCCGATTTTCTGTAAAATTTCCGATGAGGCTTACTTGGGAGCACTAGCTCCTAAGCGCCGGTCGCGATCCTAAACTGGGTAGTGACATTTCTTTTCTGGATCATTGCTCAAAATCAAAATCCTCAAATTATTCTTCGCAAAAATCGATTAGAAAGTCTGATTCATTGAAGAATTTTTGTCAAACACATATAAGACCCTTATTATCAGGGAAGTACACAAAAGTTGGGGAAAAAGAATCGAAATTCTAGGTAAAACATAAATAACCTGATAACTATGTCCGCGAAACACACAAATTGAGCCGTAAGAGAAAAGATCGGAAGAGAGATTTGAGGAAAATAGGAGATGAGTTGAGAAAGTAATCAAAGTCAAGAGAAACAGTAGTAGTGTGGACCTTCTTCGGAATTTTGTGGCTTTGGGCTTTGTATAGCGGCAGATTTACCTCTGCTAAAACGTGGCAGAGATGGAAAAATCAGAGATAGCACGTGTCCATAAAGCCAAATGTTATTTCGACAATACCCTTACTACCCCAAGCTCCTCTCCTTACTCGCTTCTATAATAGTATTAATTTTGTATCTGTTCTGTATTTTTTTGGGGTACCTATTAATTTTTATTAACTACAAGTGTAAACATTACAAAATCATAGCTTAGCCAACACAACTAGCTGTCCAATCTGTTTTGTATTTTTGTTTCGCAATTTTTGAACTTCGTCAGGTTTTCTGCGTTGTTTGTTATATTTTTCTACTTACGTTTTTTCGTAACCCAATGACGACATCAGACACTATTGTTATAATATATAAATTTTATACATTTTTACGTAAAAATTGCACGGGACGTCCTATTTGGTTGCTCCCATTTAACCTATATCCATTTTTTTAAAAGTTTTAACTTGTACTCACTTTTTAAATAATTTCAGTCTCCTTTCTCCTCCTCCTTCGTTTTCTTCTTCTTCTTCTTCTTCTTCTTCTTCTTCTTCTTCTTCTTCTTCTTCTTCTTCTTCTTCTTCTTCGTCTTCTTCTTTCTTCTACTGCTGTTGGTGCTGCTATGAAACTTCAGTTCATGGGATGATTGTCATAAATATGTTTATCAGATTATTTAAAAACAAAATATAAATAATTACGTAAGTTAGTAGACAATAATTTGTGAATATTTCCACATACGTAACTTAGTAGACAATGGTAATTGTTCTTTTCACGTTTATTGTTTCCAAAATTTATGATTTAGATATTGTTGACAATCTGATTATTTATCTAATATGTTAGAAAGCTTTTTCAAAAACTTCAACTTATATAGTGCTGAAGTTTTTACAAATGAACTAAATAACTTCAGAATCTTCTGCTGAAGTTTTTGAAAAGCTTATCCAGGACAAAAAAAACTTTAGTTTTAAATGAACTAAATAACTTCAGCATCTTCTGTTGAAATTTTTGAAAAAGCTTAATGACAAAACTAATGAATCTAGGACAAAAAAACTTCAGCTTATTTAGTGCCATTACAAACAAAAATTTCAGGAAATAGAGAACAAAATTTCAGCTACTATGCTTAAGTTTAACAATTACAAACAAAAACTTCAGCACACTTGCTACTTCAGGTCCGTTTACTAGAATACTGAAGTTTTGCGTGATTATCTTTGCTACTTCAGCCCTGTATGCTGAAGTTATGCGAAAAAGTGGGTACGCTTGTAATTTATTTTGCAAAATGGGCACAAGTTAAAACGTGACCCAAAAAACGGGTATAGATGCAAATCCCCCTATTTTTACGGTTATCAAATATAAATAATTTTAGCCGCGGGCTAAAAGTAATTTTTCTCCAAACTTATATAAATATAAAGAGAAGGTGGCCTACGATAAATATACACTTCACATGTGTTCTCTGTTGTGCACTAGTCGAGGTGCACTCTGTCACGGGGCCTAAACTTTTCCTTTTTACTAAACGTTAAAATTGGATGANTTATATAGACATGAAAAGTGAAGAAAATATGTCATTGAACATAGAAAATATGTCATTGAATATGAAATTAACCATTTGAGAGAAAGATCATGGAGGAAGAGTAGATATCCACCGTATTTTGATTTTTATCATAACACTCTCCCTTGAATGTTCATAAATAATGTGCCTCGTTAAAATCTTACTAGGAAAAAACCCTATGGGAAAAAAAATCCTAATGAAGGAAAAAGAGTACACATATTTAGAAATATGCCTTTTGGTTGCCTCGTTAAAAACCTTGCAAGGAAAACTCAGTGGGACAAAACCTTGTAAGGGAAAAAGAGTACAACGCGTATTAACTCCCCCTGATGAGATCATTAGTTCACATCGTTAAGCCTTCGTATCCCAATCTTGCACACTAGTTTCTTGAAGGTTGACGTTGGTAGAGATTTGGTGAACAAATCAGCCATATTATCACTTGAACGGATCCGTTGCACATTAATATCACCATCTTTTGAAGATCATGTGTGAACAATAATTTAGGTGAAATGTGCTTTGTCCTAACTCCTTTATGAATCCTCCCTTTAATTGGGCTATGCATGTTGTATTTTCTTCATATAAAACTGTGGGTAGTTTGTCACAGTTCAAACCACATTTGTCTCGAATAAGATGTATTATAGACCTCAACCATACACATTCTCGACTTGCTTCATGAATAGCAATTATCTCAACATGATTAGATGAAGTAGCCACGATTGATTGCTTAGTCTATTGCCATGATATGGAAGTGCCTTCATATGTAGACACATAGCCTATTTGAGATCGAGCCTTGTGTGGGTCAGATAAATATCCAACATCGACATAACCAACAACATTGGGATTGCAATCATTGCTATAAAATGAGCTCATATCGGTAGTCTCTTTTAGATATCGCAATATGTGTTTGTTCTATTCCAATGTCTCCTTGTAGGAGTAGAGCTATATATTGCTAAGACATTAACTGAAAAAGTTATGTCAGGCCTTGTAGTGTTAGCAAGATATATTAGCGCACCAATTGCATTAAGATATGGTACTTTAGGACCAAGAAACTCTTCATTATTTTCATGAGGTCAGAGTGGATCTTTATTTATATTTAATAATCTCACAACCATCGGGGTACTCAA